GATAGTAAAGGGTGAAAAAATACATAATAAATGGGACTCTGTGTTTAATATACTTCACGCATCTTTGCTACTTTGTTCTGTTTTCAAACGTTCTACGACTTGCTTCATTGCCCATGTCATTTTGATACGTTTTCGCTTTCGTTTAGTTGTCATTCGTTTTAGGATGTGGGGTTTGTGTAATTTTTGCTTACACGATAATGGGTTGGGTCCTTTGGTCTTCTTCCTACGTGTAAAACTTTCTTCGGAAAAACCAAATCTGTCACAAAATTGTTTGATTTTACTACACTAATGAGAAAAATACGAAGAAATAGAAAATCGCAAGTTGTCATGAACTGCACAAAACGAATCAGGTCGGATGCGGTCAGTCAGTCAGTAACAACGTACATCAGTTCGAGTTGCCACACCATATTAGCACAGAGATGTAGTGGTCGATTCAAATCCCGTAGTGCTAGGTGTAGTAAAATTATAAGCTGTAATCAGAAAAATTAGGGTTTGAAGATGTTATTCAAGGAGTATAATCCAGTGAAATAAATTTGGAAAAAAAAAAAGAAAGGAACATGAAGAATTTAGTTCAAGTTGCCACACCACATTAGCACAGAGATGCAGCGGTCGATTCTAATCCCGTATTGATAGAGGTGGTAGGAGTATAAGCAGGAATCGGAAAGATTAAGATGTGATGTTCTTCAAGGAGTATAATCCAGTGAAATTAACTTGGAAAGAGGAAAAAAGGACATGAAGAATTGAGAAGATTCGGGAAAACACAAAGAGTGAATGCACCTGCGCCATTGCAAACGATTTCCAGCCATGTCATTCAGGGTCTCTAACCATCGGTTGCTACCATTTTATTTCATAATCACATTGTGATTCTTTTAAAGGTTTCTATCTAGTATTTTATTGGTGTCACAATACTTCACTAGGTTGGACTCATTTAGTAACGGTTATTCAGTAGACCAATATAAAATTTTTTTGGGTGGTAAACTTTCAGACAACTTTGGGAGGGGGCTGTGTTTAGAATTAGTAACCAGCTTCCTAGCTAACTACATTAAACACTAAATGCCCTGGTACGACCGAATGGAAAGAGTCAGCTCTCTTCGAAATGCTCTCACACGGCCGCGCGTATACAATTGACTGCCAGGAAAGTCCTACTCACTGTATTCTCGTGGTGGGAGTGTTTACGAAACTGAAAAGACGAAAACCGAGTATTCGGCGCTCTAATCGGGATAGTGGACACAGATGTTTCACCTAGGGGAGCTGGAAAACCCTGATTCCAAACTGATGTTGTACATGGGCTCCATGATCCTGAGGAAACAAATGGCGTATGAACCAGTTGTTGGCCACCGGCTACCATGGTACTGCGTCTTCTAACGTTGCTCGGCTGCATTGTGGATCAGACCTTTAGGCCGAAGACTCCGGGTGTGGCCCCCTAAGGAAAGTATCAGAGCCCATACACAAAGCAAGTGACTTGTATGGCACATATGTATTCGGTGCCCCCTTGTGCCAATGTCTAGTTGCTCAAATAAATAAACCCAGTTGCAGTAGCTTTAGACAATCTTCATTTTAAGCTATCGATTATTACGAAAACTCGGCTTTGTACGGCTTACATACGCCATAATCTAATTCAACGAAACCACCTGATATGGTGTTTCAGAAATGTACTTAAAATATCTCGTCCTAACCCAGTGGCTGTTGATTTCTTTATAGTTCATCAAGATCGGTTACTGCAGGTTGACGACTATGTTCCCAAACTTCACTTATATTTTCATGAGTCTTACATATTATGTGGATGGGTTTGATATCTTCCCACTCGATAAATTAGGTGTACTAGACTTACTAGTAAAATAGTCATCAGACTATCTTGCAAAAAGGAGATGCACATAGGAATTAGCAAGTTTGTCTTTGGTTTGGAATTATGATATGGAGTAAAAATGTACTGAAGGATCACTGAGTGCTTTAGCAGGGTTTTATGACACTGAAAGTATTACTTGAAGTGAAACTATGGGGCTGTACTGACTTGATCCATTACCAGTTATTAGCTTGCCAGTTGTAAATTACTTCACTGTGTCTCAATAACCAAGTTTGTTTTGGGGTCAGTTTTGTGCGAAGACAATATAATTATTACGTGCCACTATCTAAACGGTTTCGGTAAACAAACTAAACAGCTAGAAGCTTATCCTTGACTATTCTTTTTACTAGGAGCGCGCTGTTAATACAAAACCCAGTGGAGATATTTAAATGATATCTATAGGAAGTTCCGAGTGCTGTTGTTTTAGGTAATCACCTCTCAGTTCCCGCATTATGAAGGGATTTGAAAAGAAAACTGGATTAGGAATGGGCACAGAGACGAAATAATATCACAGAACGCAAGGGAAAGCTGCTCAAAGACAATCACATGCGGCCTATTCATGGGAAGTTTTTGATTTGTTAGCTCCGTATTTCAAGAGGCTTTACAACTGGCAACGGAAAATGGGTGAAGTGTAACATTTTCAGGGCCAACTTTTTTCTAACTCATCCCGTGGTGAGGAAACAGCATCGGTTACAATCCTCGTTCTCTGAGGAAAACACCTCACTTCGGTCACATCCCTGCAGTCAGTGAGATGACCTCGGACTCTAATTCGCTGATTATAGTTTTACTGTTCTTCACCCGACCTGTCTGGCATGGTGGGCCTTAAACGAACAAGTATTCTAATATAACCCGGTTGTCATTATGATATTCAAACTCGACCACCACATGGAGGTGAGGACTACGATCGGGATCTACTGGACAATGTTTTCTGAAACAAATTTCCAGATCCATCAAGGGACGAAGAGTAGCAGTAGTTAAAGTGACCACAGTCGACTGACCAATAAGCGAAATGAGAAACATTTGATGGAAAATAAGGTACTTTTGCGGAAAACATAGTTTTTATAGCAAATCATATAAATCAGTATATGTTTTGATTTCCTCTTGGATCGCAAAAACGCTTTTTCCTAGAAATCATAAATATAGACACTAAGTTAAGGAGAAATAGGTTATGAGTTTAAACTAAATGCTCAGTTTCTCATTGGATAAAAATTTTTAGTTATTTGATTTCTCAAAAAGATCACGGGTTTAAATTCCCGTACAGCACTGCTAGGTGTATCTACATGTGATTTGAACGTTATTCCCACGATATCTTTTGTTTTATACTGTTGCAAGTGAACACTTGAAACGAAACTCCTGAAGAAATTTAAGTATGTCTGGATGTAGCTATTTCCACCGTACTGATAGACATCAAAACATGTCAGTCAGCTACAACATAGGACCAGGCACATTTATGCATCGGTCCAAGTTGCCATACCTCATTAACACAACAAGATGGACACCGGATTCATATAAGTGGTTAATTTAGAGGTGGTAATATATAAAAGAAAGATTGCAATAAGGGTATAGTACAGGAAGAAAGAAAGATATGAAGCAATTTTAATCTCTTAGTTTAAGAGAAGACAGAGAGTGTATACACCGACGCCATTGTGACCGATTCTGAGCCATGTCACCAAGAGTCTCCAACCATTGGTTACGATAGTCACGCGGACCCCAACCAAGTAGTCTGCATCTACCAACATGGCTCAGACTAGCAGTTAGTGACTTCAAGCACTGATGACACGTTTTGGTTTGGCCGCCCCTAACATTCTTCCAACCATCTCCAACACCGGTTAGCATTGCACGTCGTGGTAATCGGTGTTTGGGCATACGTTACACGTGACCCAACCATCTCAGTCGATGAAGATTAACAACCTCATCGACTGATTTACCATCCTTCCCTAATACTTCACTATTACTTACCCGGTGATCCCAGCAGACGCCAGCAATATTTCTAAGGCATCTGTGGTCAAATATTAGTAGCTTACGAGTGTCTTCTACTCTTAAAGGCCATCATCAAAACATGAGAAACCCTTTTATCACTTTCTAATATAAACTGCTGAGTCAGTTTAGTAGGAATCATAGTACACAACCGGAATTCCCTCATCCTTTAAAGTAGTCATTCAGCAGGAAAACTTCGATTGAATACCTATTCTTTCATTAGCATCATCATTAAATGTTTCCGACACAAATTTCAGAGGTTGATAACTTATAACACGCCGCAACAGAAGCAATGTTATGCATAATGATAATTAGACCACTACGGGTAACACAGGAACTATATTACTCTTGTAAGCCGTTATCTCTATGTTCTACGATGTTCAGTGAAATAAGATGACATACCCGACGTTTGGAAGTAACAAATACAAACTGATGCAACAAGTAACGTTTTTGATCAAAAAGCTTTACTACTTGAATGGCATAGGAAAACCTGTAGGCTACTAGTCAACTTGACACAACTGCGGCTACATAAGTACTAATAAGATAAGTTTAAACGCTGATGATCCGAATCTATTGAACCAGGATACAACATAATGTAGTGCTTTCTGACATGATCATTTTAAGATCTACTAACTTATAATTATTCCAATAAAAATTCTCCTGAATAGTGATTTTCAACAGAGTATTAAAAATCAATGGTCAGATGATTAACGAGTACTTTTAAACACTCTACAGAGGACTTTTGACTAGTATGTCAAAAATGGTCTCGCTTTTGCTGATGGTTGATCCAATGACAATACAATTTGGTTTTATGGCGAGACAGATTTCAGTGTAAGATCAATTCCGATGTGCCAGGAAATATTAGATAAGTAGTGGTGAATGTTGACAAACGATGAGACGTCTTACTAATGATCCCATGAACTTGGCGTCTTTTATCTATATATTTAACAAAAATCAGGTTTATCTGACAAAACTGAGATCCTTGGATAATTTAAGAAAACAAAGTGTTCACTTTACATAAGTAAATGACGTAATGTTTATGTGCTCGGTCTCTTCTATTAATGAGGAGTCCACAGTAGGACGAAACGGCCGTTCAGTGCTTCCAGGTTTTTTATGGTGGTCTAGCTTCAATTGACTCATGATCTCAAGTATTTAAGAAAACACTTTTTGGAAGTAATCTCAGCTATTTAAATAATCCCACCGCTTCAATTAGTAAACCTGTCCAAACTTCTTCAGTGTAATAATCAAAATTATCCCTTTAATACTTCAAATAAGAGGATTACAGATTTTTAAGAGGCTTTCTTTTACATCTGAAAGTATTATATGCCTAAGATGCAACTAAAATGCTCACTGATAATCGAAAACAGACCTACAAAAGATACTAATTACTTTCACTCAATTGGTAAAAGTAAATATGCTCAATATTCTTGTTAGGCTAAAATTGGTTTCGAACAATTCCACTAAACTAATGTAGGGTAAATTACCTGATTATAATTTGGGTAATCGCGAAAATATGTTCACACTAACATCACTAGACAAGTAATTGGTCAAGAAACAGCACATTGTATGAAAAACGAGACGTCTTGACATTTATTTGATAGTCAGACCTCCAATTAAATTAATTTGAAGCGACTGTAACGCCTTTGTAATCCTAGGAATTGAAGATCAGCGGCACTTAACTACACCTAAATATACAAAACACAACAACTATACTCTAGCAAATTAGTGAAATATTCAGTAAGTCTGATACCTTACCAGTATGATGAGAAAGACTGGGAAATAAACTAGTGCCTATTTCATTTCCCAATAAAGCATCATAAAATGAAGTTAGGACAAACCTGAAACTTTTAACAAAACTCACCTCTGAAAGTGTCAAGTCCGGTGCTCGTGTAGCCTTTTGTTGAAGCAATAACGAAACCGGAATAGGAATAGACTCCAAATTGATTCGCTTGTGAGCAATGAAGAATATCGGCATTCCAGGGACAGTCCTGGCATACTGTTGCAGTAACTCGTCATTAGAAGCTAGAGCAAATAACAAACTACCCTTTCTAGACTTAGTTTCGGAGCATTTTTTTGACCGTGCGGTGAGAATTCTCCTTTTTATGCATGAAAAGGCAGATGTGTCTTTATGAACTTTGTGTGTACACTTCAGAACTTTGTATTGTTGAATAATTTGTAGTGCTCCGGAAAACAACTGACCTAGTTTTTCACACTCGAGAATAATACATGATGATGTAACCAGAATAAATTCGCACGAAAGTGTACACTTGAATTGTTGCTCAATGTGAAGCTGTTGTACTAATGCTTGTCGTGCAAAAGTACTGTCAACCAGTATTTCAAGTGGATTAGTTTTCAGTCCAAAGTGAGTATCATACAAGTCAATAGTCCTCCTGTAGTTTTTAACACGCTTAGTCTTCATTTAAAGAAACAGATGAGATTTATCGTCAGCGCTTGTGAGATGCGCACGCATAACTACTTCTCCATTGGCTGAACGAGCATGGGAATAAACACAACATAGCGACCTATCAGAATGAAGCGGGAATTATCATTTCCACCACCACAGTCAGATACAGATTTGTGCAGTAAAGACAGAAGGCCTACAACCTATGTTATTTCTTTCTTAGTATGCTTTCATGAGTGTCCGGTCTTCACTTGAATGAGTCAATTGAAAGTGAGGACACCATTGCTTCGAGCAACATGTCCTAAGATTCTATGACTCAGAGTGAAAACCTGTATGCTACGGGTATTTTGTTCGTTCATGGCTTTTCTACCAGCCTGCTATGTCCTCTGAGACGTCTCGATCTAATGGGAAGAAAAAGAGAGGATATTGTAGCGGCAAATAAATCCCCAAAATAAATAGCTCTGTAAGTTTTCGACACTAGATGCTGACCACATGTTTTAATGGACTCACCTAGCTGAAGGCGCTCGGTCATGCATCCGCACCAGATCACGAGTGGGAACGCTATGCTCAACAAACCTATGCAATCGCTAGCCAGATTAGATCAGACGATTCTCGATATATCGATAGCCTATCAAATATATCTTCGAACCTCCTCGTTTCTGTCTTTTGATTTCTCTTGGTAGGTACGATTCATATTAGGTGTTACTGGTTAAAGCGTTATCAAACTCCGAATACCTGTGGCATCTTCATTGGTGAGCCTAACGTGATCTGGTACACCAAATTGTAAACTATGAGTCTGTTCCTTTTTGGAATTCTGTTTATTATTGTCTTATACTAATTTTTTATATATTGTGCTATTTTTTCCCTTGTTTTTGGATATATATATATTTTTCCCTCGTTCATTCTCGTACTTGATATTTCACTATGACTGAACAGACACCCAAGGTACTTAAGCTAAAGACTATGTCCCCACCTTCGTTCCAAGTAATGCCCTTCTGGACAGACAAAGTCGAAGCCTGGTTCCGCTACGCGGAAGCCGCCTTATATGAGCACGGCGTGAACGACACACGTGCACAATTCCTCGCAGTAGTCAAGGCACTACCGCGCGAATTCAACAGGTACGTAACACCTAGTATGTTTACTAGTGATGTTTCTGGACCGTACGAAACCTTAAAGCGTTCTATCCTTAAACGAGGAGGCCTAACCGATCGACAAAGGTTAGACCAACTCCTTAACAACATGGACCTGCAACACGGTTCTGCGACGGATATGTTGCAAAGAATGAGAGAGATTATCGGCCAAAGAACCATCGATGATGGCCTATTCAAACAACTGTTCTTGTCGAAACTTCTTCAACAGATGCAAGCTGTGCTTGTCTCGTCCCACAAAAACGCCTTAGACGAGCTAGCTGCATCTGCCGACCGCATTTTAGAAATCACGAAATCTTCTAATACCGAGGTTCCTTCAGTAAAAAAAAGCCCCAAAGGACTCAGAATGACATTATAGTTATGTGATACACTTACACGTTATTTTAAATTTCGTAACGACCGTAAGCGGTAACACAACCGCGCAGAAGCACTTCACATGTACGCTCTTTCTCTAGACCACGAGAGACTGGTGATCCCGTCTGGTGCTGATATCATAACCAGCATGGAACGTCCTCTGGAAAATGCAGGAAACCCCGCAATTTTCCCAACTCGAAACCGAACGACTCGAAAAACAACTCGGGACACTTCCAAGCCGGAACGTGTTAACGGCAACCGTAGCCGATGAACATAGCCGCCTGTTGTAATAGATGGAAAATTAATTTATCTGTTTGCGTAAATTTTTTTCCGGTTAAAGATTATCTCCAGTCACAATTAAGCACTCGACAGATCCATTCTATCAACCACTACTCGATAAGTATTCTAGGATATAGCAGTCAAAACCGAAATTGCCATGTGTAAACAGCAACGTTACAAATCACATCACGACTATAGGACCACCTGTATTCTTGAAAGCACGCCGACTAGCTCCAGAAAAGCTAAGGTTGGCCGAAAACGAATTTGACCACATGACAGACTTAGGTATCATGAGACTGTCAAACAGTCCATGAGAATCTCCGTCGCACATTGTCCCTAAAAAGGACAGCAACGATTGGCGTTCATCTGGTGACTATCGCCGATTGAGTGCGAAAATCATTCTCGACCGTGACCTATTGCCTCACATCCACGATTTGACAGCTACCTTGAAAGGTACAACTGTCTTTTCGAAAATCGACTTGGTTAAAGCGTATAACCAAATCCATATGGCTACTAACGATATTCCGAAAACCACCACCATAACTTTTTTCGGACTCTACGAATTTTTGCGAATGCCTTTCTGCCTAAGAAACGCTGCACAAGCCTTACAAAGGATCATAGACGGCATCTTTCGAAGTCTCAACTTTATACATGCGTATGTTGACGACTGTCTAATGGCAAGTCCGGGCAGAGAATCACATCTCCAGCATCTGGATCTTGTTTTCGACCGACTACAAAAACATGGCATTACTGTAAACATTCAGAAATGCCGAATCGGAACTAACTCATCAGACTTCCTAGGACACATCATAGGTGTTCAAGGCATTCGACCACTTAGGACCAAAGTGGCGGCCATTCTGGATTACCCAGAACTGACCACCGTCAAACAATTACGCACGTTTAACGGCCTGGTAAGTTTCTATAGACGTTCCATATCGAAATGCGCATTACTTATGAAGCCTCTTACCGATCAACTTCGTGGAAATGCGAAATCCAGCACCGCAGTAAACGCATCCGACTCAGCTACCGGAGGAGTCTTACAACAATGAGTTGACAACTCCTGGCAACCTTTGGTATTTTTCTCTAGACGGTTGCTAGACACCGAATCGAGGTACAGCACATTCGGTAGAGAACTCCTAGCTATGTATTGTGCTGTACGACATTTTGAACACCAGGTCGAAGGCCGTGAATTCACCCTTTTTATTGACCACGAACCTCTTACTTTCTCCCTAAGCTCTTCTTCAGACAAGTACACACCTCGTGAGTCTCGACAACTGGACTACATTTCGCAGTTTACTTCAGAAATCCAGCTCATTTCTGGAGCAAACAATGTAGTTGCAGACGCTTTGTCTCGCGTAACTTCCTTGAATAGCTTCCAAGGAATCAACCTTCTCAAACTCACCCAGCTTAAAAAAAGACACTGATCTTCAGCACAAGTTATTGTCTACAGCACTCAAGCTATGCATCAGACAGATGGAAACAAATAAGGAAACCTTACCTTGTGACACATTTACAGGTAGGGATCGTCAAATCGTGCCAAAACGTTATCGACGCAACGTCTTCAGTACGTTGCACAAACTTTCTCATCCAGGTGTTCGTGCAACCATCAAGCTCATAGCAGAACGACTTTTCTGGCCTGGCATGAATAAAGACGTGAGAGAGTGGGCACACTCGCGTGTAAGCTACCAAAAATCTAGGGTTATCGGACACAATAAATGTCCCTTGGGCTCATTTAAAACTCCTGATGCTCGTTTCGACCATGTTCATCTGGATTCGGTGGGACATTTATCACACTCAAATGGATACTCTTATCTCTTAACCTGCGTAGACCGTAATGCAGTGAAAGCTGACATTGGATACACTGCGGCTCAACTCGATTATGGAACGATACTTCGACTTCGTGGAGAATCCGTGGATCCTTCATCCTCTTCAAGAGCATGGATCTAACCTCCTACACGAATAGGGTTACAAACGCAATGCGTCCAGCTGAACATGTTTCCACTCGACCGTAATCAACTGATGTTTTCGTTCAACATGAATTACGATATAGCACACATGTCTTCGTACGCCGAGACTCGCATCGATGACCTTTCGAATCAGCATACGAAGGACCTTTCAGAATTCCTCGACGCGAACCTAAGTGCTATATAATCCATAAGAACGGAATCAACTATAGCATCAGCATCGAACGCTTCAAAGCAGAGTATTCAGAAGGAAATCCTATTCACGTCGATTTTCCTTCGGTACAATCGAACGACACGACTCCGACACGTATAATACCTCATCCGACAACCAACACGCACGATGATACTTCGTCACTATCTGAAAATAAACTTAAAACGACGCGTTCTGGAAGAAGAGTAAGATTTCCAGAACACTTAAAGGACTATTGCACGTAAGACACCAGTTAACATTTTACTTCATATCGATTTTCCATGGCATTATATATAATATAAATATTTTTTTAATATGCCTATATTTATATATATTTATTGTGTTGCCAATATGTATATTAAAATTTTTTTATAAAAAAACAAAAACGAAAAAAACGTTTTGTATAAATCGCTTTTACGTTATTTTCACTTTTTCGCCCATTTTGTGTCTTAAAGCAACATGCACTTACATATTCTTTTTTCCTGTTCCAGGACGGCTGCAAAAGACGATAAAAAGAACGATAAGGTTTACGAGAAACCAAAACTGTCATTGTACATTATTTTCTTACTATATTGTATTTAACGATCCCTTATGCTAAAGAAAGACGACCAGACGCTGCTAAACTTAGCAAGCTATCAGAAGAGTGTCTACCAACGACGAAACTCGTTGGGTTTAAACTTCTAGCTGGCCACATCTCAGGGTCATCACTACCCCATTAGGGGGGAGCGATCTTTAGAGGTAAATAAATCCCCAAAATAAATAGCTCTATAAGTTTTCGACACTAGATGCTGACCACATGTTTTAATGGACTCACCTAGCTGAAGGCGCTCGGTCATGCATCCGCACCAGATCACGAGTGGGAACGCTATGCTCAACAAACCTATGCAATCGCTAGCCAGATTAGATCAGACGATTCTCGATATATTGATAGCCTATCAAATATATCTTCAAACCTCCTCGTTTCTGTCTTTTGATTTCTCTTGGTAGGTACGATTCATATTAGGTGTTACTGGTTAAAGCGTTGTCAAACACTGAATACCTGCGCCATCTGCAACATAGTCATGTTTGATGAAGCTGATATAATGCAGTCTTTTGGTAGCACTGATTAACAATGCCAGAATGTCTCCCCTCTAAATGCAAATTGTTGCTTCAGGTCTTGCCTACATCAATACCTGGACTAAGGATAGAGAGTGAAGTAGTCGAAGGCGTAGACAACACCTAGCTTGGAAATCTGATGAACCCTAGTGGGTTGGTGTCTACCATTG